CTACGGGTTTTGCTTCTATCATATTTACATGTTTACTACCAAATGTTTGAACTAAAATTTGAAATTCTAAATTAAACTTATGATTATATCTATTAAACACTTTATCAATATGAAGGAAATTTTGTGAAAAACATGTTCATTTAAGCAACATCTATAACATGCAATTAACAATTAAAGGAGGAATCATGCTTGTATGCACTTAAAAATAAAACATTAACCATGAAATTCAAAGCCTAGTAGATTGGTGAACCAAGACTCAACTCAAATCAAAGTGAGTTGAGAAATTTATACCTTTGTAGATTCCTCTTTGCATAAGCAAAGGCTAATCACCCAAGGAGAGGACCTTCATTCCTTGCTTTTTAGATCAATGGATTTGGATGGAAGAATATGTTTCTCCAAGTTCTCAAAATAGAGAACCTCTAAGTCTCCACACCAAGGTAAGATGTGAAGAAGAGATGAGTGACCTTGGAGGAGAAAGATTACTAGCTAATCCCTCCAAGGGGGCCGGCCTCTTAGAGAGAAAAGAGAGAGATATGTGCTCTCTCCAATTTCCTAAAAGAAACCCTAAATGAATTTTGGCTATAAAGTCATATTTATACCTTAATTCATTGGAGTGGCAAACTTGTAAATAAGTCCAAAACCCACTCCTTTAACTAAATGGCCGGCCATAGGGTTTCATTGGGCTTTTAAGGCCTTTGTGAATTATTTGTCATTAAGTTGTCATACAACTTAAGTCAATGAGCTTGACGTTCGAAGCCCATTGGGCCTTGAGGTCCAAACTAACCCGTGGTCTTTTAACGAACTTTTTCGTTTGATTAATTAACATATTAATTAATCCTTGCCATAAATAATTAAACCATTTAATTATTCTTACTCATCTCCGTTGTTTCTTCAATCTCTACCTTACACGGTGTACGATCCATTAGGTTCCTTTTAGCGAGGCAGTGGGCGATTAAAACCATTTCAAATCGATTGTGAATTGAAACTTACTTTCAATTCTCCCTTTAGTGATTATACACGTTTAGGGCTTCCACAAACCATGAGTGACACCTAGCAGCATATCATGGTTACCCAAGCTAATCAGAAGAGGTGGAGAACCTATTCAGTTTAGGATTACAAATGCAATACGGTCTTTCTCTAATACAATACTCTTGACCACATTGTTTGGTTTGATAGTTTATTCATGTCTACTATCCAATGTGATTCGTGTGCTTATATGATTACCTTGAATGTGATTTGGAACGACTTCCTAAATCTCATTCATACTCTGGCCAGAGATTCTTAATCATATCATAGAGTATTCTCCCCCAAACGGTTTGAAGGTTAGAGATCCCTTGTTGCGCATTCACTTGCCTCCATGGCTAAGTGGCTTAACCCCGACGATGCCGTGGACACCTTCCTGATGGAGTGACTTTGACATAATCAAAGATCAAAGACTTAACCACAAGACAACTATGATGCCTCAGGTCAAATGACTACTTTGCATTATCCCAACCATGAGTTCTCATGTGACATGAGTATGAGAACTCCTCGTTGATCGTGTTCAGTGGACTCATTCATTATTGAGCACCTACATGCTTGTCTTGATGTCACACACACCAATGACTCGAGACTAGTCACTCTCCCTGAGAGAAGACACAACACGTACTGATCTTAACGGACTGTCAATGCCCAATTGGCAATCCTATGATCAGGAACGTTTAGGATGTGTCTACGAAAGAATGGTCTCATGAATCTAACTTCTTTAGATCGCATTCTCCCAATCACATATTCCTTGGACTTATCGTTTAAGCGTATATCATTTATATGAGACGGCTCAAACAATAATCTTTGCCCTTGATATTAAACTAGATTAGTTTAACATGTGAAATGTCCGTAAAGTATCATCATATGATTGGTTTTAGGGCACATTTCCAACACAATATACATTAAGCTAATACACAAATTTTTATACTCTCCTTTCATATTATAATTTTTTGTTCTTATGCTTATTTTAATTTATTTACTAAATTCATTAATTGTCATAACATAATTTGGAATACATCCTATGACTGTTAAGTTTGAACTTAAGTCTACTTCAGCTGTTGCTATTGCTGCTTGTTGGTGATTATCCCATTTATCATCATATATGTATACTAAAGCTTTTGTGCCTACATGTGCTCTGATTAATCATGCTATTCCAATTAATATTGTTCCTATATGAATTTGACTAAAATGTGATTTTCTCAAATGAGTATCTGCTTCTTTACTAATTAAATTAAGTGTAACTACTTTATCAATACAGCTAACTTCATGTTGACTGATGCTACTTACAATTCTGCTTCTATTTTCAAATAAACTTAATTGATACAAATTATATTTATTTTTCTGTATTCTCTCAAAACCGCTTCTAATAAATTCTTGCGGTTCTTCTTCATTTGGATAAATATCTTAAGCTCTAACTACTTCTTTTCCTTTTCTCCTAAAAAGTTCCATGTGTTATCGATTTATCTTAGGTCTTCTAATATGATTATTTGTACTTTAAGTTAAATTTTCTAATTTTTCTAACAAAGATGGTGGAAGCGATGATGATGCTTTATGTAAAACTTGATTTATTTCTGCTATTTGTTCTTCAGCTTGATCTAATTTCTCAGCCAAACTTAAAACTAATTGAATAATTAAATTATTTTTCCTAATGAGAATATTACTACTGGCTACTTGTGTTGAAATATCTGTTAAACCTACTGATTCTTTATCTAGCTTACTAATTTCTTTCAAAGCTTGGATATATTTTCTGCTAGTTCTAGAATCGGTCATTAAACTAATAATTTATCTATTTCATTATGCTGCTTATCTACTTGTTCACTCAACTCCTTTTGTACTAATTGAATTTTTTGAACTTCTAATTTTAACTGCTCAACTATTTCTAATGATTTGAGTTCTACTTGCTTAGGCTTATTATCTATGAGGTCAACAAGCTTTTTTATCTCTCTTTTGCTAGGAAACCTTTGAATATTTTTATTATTATCTTCTAACTAAGATGTAATATAATCTAGATTTTGTCTAATTGTTTTTATGGATTTTTTTTCTGAAAATGCTCTAACAACTGGTTTAACAAATGATTATACTTATTATTTTCTAATTTTATATTTTCTGCTCCACTAATAATAAGATCTACAATATTATTGGCTTGTGGATTTTCTTCACTATGCAAACTATGATTATGCTTTCTCAATGGAAAATAATAAACTAAACTATTTTGGTCTAAGGTTATTTTTCTTTTTTGTGGTTCACTAATTTCTAAATTAAGATAATCTATCAAACTACAGTCTACCTTTATCTAAAGTTACTGCTAACTGGTTTCTTAGAAACTCTTTCTTCTCTCAAGGTCTCTAAAATTTGATCTGTTGCTCTTTTTGGTTTTAAAACTTTATGCTGCACTTCTGTGTTGTTATATTTACGAATAAATGAATGATGTTTAAGATAACCAAGATAAAACTTCTGCTTCTTCAAGGTCCTGCTAATTCTTTTGGATATATATGCTAATCTTCTCTTTATGCTAATTATAGTTAGGTGTCTGGGACAATAAATGCCTGGTGGTTGTGGTTGACAAGGTCTACAAGGACAATAATATATGTTGTTCATACAAAATAAACAAGTGTGATATTAGTTGTGTTAATGACTTCCGTCCTCAAGGTACTTTACTATTATAATTATACTATTAAAATGCTAAACTTAGCTCTGATACCAGATTTTACAAAGCAGCCCGGGTTAAATAGTCGGATGTCCATTATAACAACTAGACATAAAACCTTGCACATGGAATTCGACATGTTTCAGCATGACGGCCACTCAAAATGCAAGTATAAGGCCTTAATGGCTGAACTCAGAGGTACGAAGAACTTAGAGTTACCCTGGTTAATGTCCAGTTATTTGTATGGCAATCATTCAACTATAATAGAGTGCTCGAACAAAGTAATCATTAGTTTAACAGTTTAATACTATAACTAAAATAATGATTCCCTGTTTTGGACTAGAAGTCTAATTAAACAAACACACTAAAAGGAAATAAAACTTAAGACTTGGAGATTGCTTGAATATGTACACCTAAACTTTTATTGATATATAGAATGTTTACAAAGAGAAGTGTTTACAAAGATAATTGTTTACAAGAAAGTGTTTACAAGGAAGTGTTTACAAGGATGCTAAGAAGACTACGGAGGCTTGAGAGTATGAAGATGGTGTGAGTATATGGTGAAAGTAGGGTATTCAGGTATTGAGATGTTGAGGTGTGTTTTTACAATGAATGGAACTCCTCTTATATAGACTGAGTGAGAGTACTTTGAAAAATTAAAATCTTTACAAATGTATGGTATGGACATCTCCTTGGTACTTGTCATCTTCTACTGTTGCTGAAATTGTCAACATTGTTTCTGAAACATGGTCTGACTTATTTGTCTTTTTTCTGTTTTGCATGTGAACTTGCTTGTGTTGATAAATATGTGAGCTTACTGCATAGCTGTCTCCTGGAGCTCAATTTTTGCTTTTGCATGTGATATCTTTGAGATGCCTTTTTCATTGTCTTCTTTTCCATGCCCATTTTGAGTATTATTAAAAAAAATTTGTCCTGATGCTTAAAAGGAAAGTTTTTGGGTGGTTTTGGTTAGTTTCCATTTATATTATCTTTGCGTTTTAATTTTTTTAATTTTATATTTTATTTGTCTACATTGCCGACCTCTGATACGTTAATAGAAAATCAGACGGTGTTATACGACAAAGGATTCAATTACCGACATCTGATGCTACATGGCCTAGCTCCAGAAAGATATTTTCTGTCCGATCTCCAGATAGATATGTTCTTTTGTATTAAATTAGATATGGCAAAGATTTACAATATCCAACCAAAAAGGACCATACCCAAGTTGGTATACATATTACATTTATTTATTTAAGATTTACAAATCTTAGTGTACACTTCAAGTAATTAATTAATTCCATTAATTGGCTCATTGCCTTTAAAGCATTGCCTTCTTTCTTATCCCTTATCCCCACCCACCCCCTTTGAAACCTAAAAACCTCCTTCAAACTTTGTACAAAAACCAGTCCTAAATTTAATTAGAATAATTATGCATAGCTTTTGGTGGCTCCTTGGAGTTCTTCACCATGTCATTTGGGTTGCAACCATGCTCATTACCAGCCAAGCCATGCCGCCACCGCCCCCGATTCAATGCGACGCATCAACCGGCTGCAACCTCTCCAACTCCTACGGGGTATGGGGTGACAGAACAGATTGCCATGCTCCATCCGCCGCACACCCACAAACGGAGGAAGACCTCCGCCTTGCTGTGGCTTTTGCAAGCAAAAACAAGATCAAGGTCAAAGTGGTGAGCAAATTTTCACATACCATACCAAAGTTGGCATGTCCTGACATGAGTTTTGGAGACGCAATGCTAATAAGCACGGCTAATGTCAATTCCACAATCGAAATCGACGCAGCGAATTTAGCTGTCACGGTGGATGCTGGTGTAGGGCTACGTCAGTTGATAGACAAAGTGGAGGAAGCTGGGCTGAGCTTGGTGGCTGCGCCGTATTGGGAGGGTGTGAGCATAGGAGGGCTTATAAGCACGGGGGTGCATGGAAGCTCGTGGTGGGGAAGAGGAGGAGCTGTGCATGATCATGTTATTGGTCTTAATCTTGTTGTTCCAGCAAATCAATCAGAAGGGTATGCGAAAGTTCTCAGGTTAGATTCTAAGGATGAAATCTTCAAAGCTGCCAAAGTTTCATTGGGGTTGCTGGGTACCATCTCCAAGGTTGGTAATCTCTCTCCATTTTTTGAACTCATTGCCAATATTTTAGAGTCTTTAACTTGTTACACCAACTTTAGGTTACCAATTGACTTAACACTTGCTTATTTTTGGTGGAAAAGTAAGGCCCAAAGTGTAATACAGAAAACAAATGAAACATTGTCATAAAGTTTAGAGCTTAAAAATTAATGTGATAAGTTGGCGTCTTGACTACTAATCATTAATAGTAGAAAAAACTTCAGGAAAACAGATTCTTTTGTGAGAATAGAATGACAAGCCACGTAATCAGGTGGCGTGTACTAAAGTTTTTCTCCATTGATAGCTTTGTACAGTTGGATAACTTTCTTATAATTAAGTAATTGAATTATTGAACAAAGCTTTAATTAGAAATTGCCCAATAGGTGAAGTTGAGATTGGAGCCAGCATTCAAAAGGAGCATAGCCTATAACTTTACAGACGATGCTCAAATTGAGGACATATACATGGACCATGCAAAAAAATATGAGTTTGGAGACATAACATGGTATCCATCGAAGCATACAGCTGCATACAGATATGATAACAGACTTCCTTTAAACGCATCAGGCGATGGAACATATGATTTTTTAGGCTTCCAGTCCAATTCTGTGGTCTCCAAGACTATAAGAGCAACAGGTGATGATGCCTGCAGGTTCTTTCATTCTAAATTAATTTCTCTTCTTTTGATGTTAGTAACTTAGTACGTATTACTTTCATAATTTTTTAGTATCGTGTGGCCAATTTTCGTCAATTATTGTTTATATTCAATTTTAAATATCGCACGATATACGATGAGCAAATACGGTTGAAGAATTTCTGGGATCCTCACAAAGAGGATCCAAAGAGGATCCTCATTCCATTACTTTTTCTGTTAGTTGTATATAGAAGAAAGAGAAGATATCATCTTCGAATCTCTTTCACCAAGGTCATCGGATCAAGTGATCCTGGGCCTTTCAAATTTCATCCAACGAAAAAAAATTATTATAGTTTTTAAGGAGTCAAATTAGGTGGGTCATTGGATGAAATTTAAAAGCCCGAATCACTTGATCCGGTCATCTTGGTGGAATTTAGAAGAAAAAGATTAATCATTTCGCATATGTGGGACCATTGCTAACAATAGATCTCACTTCCAATCGAAGGTAAATCATAAGCAAACCAAATAAGTTTATCTATCTTAATGTGAAATATTATTCTGATGAGAGGGATAGTGCGAAATAATATATACCCAATTGCATTTAAGTTTTTTTAAACCTATTTAGAGATGTAGGTACATACATTCATATATCATTTCTTTAATTTCAAGTCATGGGTTTCATATAACATTTAATTTTTTAAAACTTGATATATAAGTCCAAATTTTTTAGCCAATATTAAAAATAATCTAGTTTGTTAAAAAAAAGTCCAATCGATTAAGTTTACAATTATTTTATAATCAATAATTATCTATTTAATGATAAAATTTATTATAAAAATTAAATTTCGTTTTTAATTATTTCTTCTCAATTCTTTCTTTGTTATTTCTTGTTCTTGTCCTTGCTCTAAACCCTACTTATAGATTTTATTTTTAATTTTTATAATCAACCTATATTACAAGTTAATTGTATTCATCTACCTATATGATAGATTAATGTATCATGCTTGTAGGTATATTATGTTTTGTACGCTTTAGTTAGGATTCATATCTCGCTTATAGGCAGGGCTAGCCTATACCCAGTGCGGGCATGGCGACCGTCTGAGGCCCAAAAAAATTCGGGGCACCAAAATTATTAGGGTGGTATATTTATATATGTTTTCATAAGATTATAAATTTATAAAATTTGGTTTGATGACAAAGAAATTTAACTAGAAGTGGTGGTTTTGTCATTTGAAAATAATGAAGAGGTCTTGGTTTCAAAACACCACCTGTGAGTATAAATTTATAAAATTTGGTTAAATGATCAAGAAGTTTAATTAGAGCAATGGTTTTGTTGTTTAAAATTAACGAGATTTCCTAAGTTCGAAATGTTATAGGCGTGTTTATTCTCTTTCAATTTTTACGAATATTTGTTTGGTTGTTAATTTATTTTTAGTTACTAGCTAGTAGCTATGTGGGTGCTGTTTTTAAATATTCGTTTGAATTCAAGTCTAATCTTCTACAAGGAGTAATACGTAGACCAAATTTTTAGAGCAAATTTACAAATCATATGATGTGTCGTCAAAATGTTTAATTTAGTGCCCATTCATTACTTATACATATTAATTAAAGACTCGAAAACATCATTATTTTTTTACTCTCATATTGACAAGGTTAGTAAATAAGAAAAAACACCTCACGATTTATACAAACACTTTAAAAGTTCAGATGGAAAACAAAACTCATCGTCTATCTACATGTAAGCTTGGAGTTTTTGGGTTTCCTTCTCTAGATACAAAATATATTAGTCCTTTTGTATTTCTAAATTATTGAGTTTGAACTGCTTTTCTAAGTATAATTTTATTGATGTCTTACGTGTGAAAATAAATAATCTTCTTATATGAAGTTAGGGCATATTTTTTGGCATCGCGCTGGGCCTCAAAATTATATGGACCAGCCTTGCTTATAGGTATAATATAAATTCATATATTTGTTACTTGAGTCAGGGTCGTATGTTTTCTAGATGATTTTGTGTTAGTATATTAGATTTTTATTAGAAAATATTAAGTAATTTATTAAAACTAGGAAGATTTTAATTTTATCCTTAATATTTTTAAAAATATAAAATGAATATGAAAAAATAAAAATGAAGAAAAGATACTTGGACTTAATCTAAGAATTCTGTTGATTTTTGGACCCATATCTAAATGGCCCTATTTTAAATGATGGATATAATATAGTACACCTCTCTAGTACGAAGTGCTAATGCATAATGCGTTTTCATGCATAGTACATGATCATTCATTACTCAAAATGTCATTAGACCATACGTGACTGACACTGTATACATCACACCTAACTGTTCATAACACACCTCTATTGAGCCCATGCTTTCAGAAAAGAGGTATATATAGTTGATAGTCAGTCAAAATGGTACAAATAGTTTAATTCATTACGTTATTATAGTATTCTAGACATAAAACTAAAAGAGGGTGTAAATTTGAAATGTGCAGAGAAAACAATGGACAGCGGACGAAGCTCGATTGGGAAATGCACACTAGCATCTACAGTTTTGGAGGCCAAGAAATTAGTAGCCAATGGTTTGAAAAATAACCTAATCTTCACTGGGTACCCAGTTGTAGGTCATCAGGGTAAAATGCAAACCTCAGGTTCATGTCTGTACTCGGCAGGCACAGACAAATCCTGTGCGTGGGACCCAAGAATCAACGGCCTCTTCTTCTACGAGACAACGGCAATATTTCCAGCATCAAAATTTGCAGACTTCATCCGAGACGTCAAAAAACTACGAGACCTTAAACCAGAAAACTTCTGTGGGGTGGATATTTACAATGGTTTTCTAATCAGATTCATTAGGGTTTCCGATGCTTATCTTGGTCAACAAGAAAACTCCGTGGTGGTTGACTTTAATTACTACAGAGCCGATGATGCTTCGACTCCAAGGTTCAATCAAGACGTGTGGGAAGAGGTGGAGCAACTGGCGTTTTTCAAGCATGGGGCAAAGCCACACTGGGCTAAAAACAGAAACGCAGCGTTTTTGGACGTGCAGAAAAAGTACCCTAATTTTAACAAGTTTTTGGGTGTGAAAAGACGGTTGGATCCTCAAAATATATTGTCGAGCGAATGGTCGGATGAGATCTTATCTGGGAAAGAAGGTGCAAAGCGTGACGGGTGTGCTTTGGAGGGTCTTTGTGTATGTTCTGAAGATCGGCATTGCAGCCCGGCGAAAGGGTATTTCTGTAAACCTGGACTTGTTTATAAGGAGGCTAGAGTTTGTAGGTACTCATCATCACCATCCACTGTGGGATCAGAGAGTTACCAAACTGATGCATTATTTGATTAATTATTTCTGAGTGTTAATAACAATTTAGTAAATAAATTCTACAAATATTGTTGATAATATGAATGATTGTGCATAGTAAATTTTCATACTTTTTCATTTACATTTCAGAGAAAAATAATTTAAATTTAAATTATAGAGAAAAAAACTGAATTTACTTTGTAACACCAAAGAAATTTTATAACTAATAATGAGCACTACAAGAGAAATATTTGAAAGATTTTTTTCTCCATTTGAACTCTTGAAGTGATTTTATAAAACTTTTAGTTGTCGGGATTTTTTTTTTCTAATTTACTGGTGAAGTTTATGTGGAAACTAGATTTTAATCCTTAAATAAAATGAATTTTAGAAAAATGTCTTATACAAGATTAAAAATTGATGTTAGTCCCTAGACTCTATTTAATGCCATTATATGTATTTAATATCTTTTTTTATTTATAATTTTATGGTGTTCATAAATAAAATTTTAAGATTATATTGTAAATTTTAATTCTCATTATGGTAAGTATCTTATATAAGAAAATATTTTCGTAGATATTTTTCGGTAACTTATACTTTTGCATATTGTCTTATGCACCACTAATTCATTGTAATATTATTTAGGTACGAAGATTTTGGTACACTAGTTTAATATAATATGTTTAGGTATCAATAGTTCAGTACACTAGTTTAGTATAATATATTTAGGTACGAACATTTCGGTACACTAGCTTAGTATAATATATTTAGGTACGGATATTTCGGTATACTAATTTAGTATCATATATTTAGGTACGGAATTTTTGGTACACTTATGTTTTTGCATATTTTCTTATGTGCCACTAATTCACTACAACGTATTTAGGTACTACAATATACTTAAGTACGGACATTTTGGTGCACTAATTTAGTATAATAAATTATGATATGAATGTTTAGGTACACTAATTAGAAGAAGTTAAATAAAATTAATGAATTAAAATGTGTATAATAATAAATTTAAACTTTAATGTAATGACATTAAATAAGATATCTACTAAATATTAAAACAAAAATATAATATAAATTTAAATTAAATACAACTAAAATCAATATCCAATCTAACACCATATTTTTATGAAATTTTAATCTTCTTCAAGTTCAAAAACAAAATCAAATTAGGGGTGGGCAAACGGGTATAGGAATCGCGGGTAGGGGCAGGTAATTCAGGTTCGGGGCGGGTCCAAAATTTCTAAACATAAAACGGGGCGGGGCGGTTCGGGTATACGAAATTAGCGGGGCAGGGCAGATCTAAAATAGGAGGGAACATACCCCCGGCCCGGCCTGTTTCTAGCATGGAATAATAGACCTCGATCTCTCATTTTAAGTCGCTCCCACCGTCCGCTGCCATCACCATAACGTATTACGTTTTAGGGATTTAGGATTGAAAATTAAATTAGGTTTTCTAGATTTAGGGATTTTGTTGGATTCTTGAAGCTTGACCTCTGTTATGTTCCAATTTCAAATCTTTTATTGAATTGAATTTGAATCGACTGAGTTTGAAATTTTTGTTGAATTAAAATTCCCTCTGATTCGAGCACGACAAAACAAGGCAGCAAAAACGACAACAAAGATGATTAATATGTGTTGTCATATACTGATACACTGCTGGACCTCGAGCTTCCCTACGACAACAAAAAACGGAAGCTTTCGAAGGGAAAAATGGTCAACCTCTGCTTAGAGTTTCTGAACGCTGGCACCGACACGACTTCCACCGCACTGCAGTGGATCATGGCCAACGTAGTCAAGTGCCCACAAGTTTAGGAGAAGCTGTTTGCATAGATTAAATGGGTTATAAGAGAAACGGAAGAGAAGGTGCAGAAGGAGGTCCTGCATAAGCTGCCATATCTGAAAGTTGTGATCTTAGAGGGGCTGAGGCGCCACCCACCGGAGACATGGTGAACCACTCGTTGCAGTGCTAAAAAAAATAAAAAGAGTTGGACCCGCCCAGAATCGGCCCACTTGAAACTGGTCGGATTAGGTCTGGTTTCAAAACACAAAATCTCTACTTGGTCTAGCCCGTCCCTTTACTGTTTTAAACGAGTAAAGTTCGGTTCCTCTAAAAGTAGGCCCGACCCGACCCGTGCCCAGCCCTAATCAAAATTCTGCAGAACTCACTTTACGTTGCAGAGCTCACTTCCATTTCCATGTGACAGAGCAACCTTTTGTCTCCATTTCTAATTGGTGCCCAATGAAGCTGCTTCATCTAGCCCACTAATTAATAAGGAACTCATGAAATAGGAACTGGGATATATGCTGACAAAAGTAAAAGGGATATTAGTAGGTGTGGCGCCTTTGGATGTAAGACGTTTCGACTTCTTTGTAATCGGTGGCGAATGAGGCTGTGCCACCTGGTGCACTATTAATAAATAATGAGTAACTTCGTGACAAAATTTTGAAAATTAAAGGATGTGAAAGTTGATGATTGATTTGTTACTTAAGCGTTGATAAATGTACTCATTCCAATTGGTGACACATCATTTAGTTTACAAATTTTATCTTCTTACCATTAACTTTTAGAAGGTGGTATATATGTTGAAAAAAAAAATTAAAATTAGGAGCTTTTTTTTATGTGTTTAAACCATTATTTTTAAATAAAAATTCACTATAAATTTATAATATCTCTAAAAAATCATAAAGTACTACAAACTCGTGATCATTTAAAATTTTATCTCACATCATCTAATTTTTTAAGATGCTAAACTTAATTAAAATAATAAACTCAAATTTCTAATATAAGTATAATTTTTTTTAAAGTGTAAATGGACACTTATTTATATGATATATAATAAATTTACTTAAATTCACTTAGGCCAGCCTAAAATTAAAATTTCCGTTAGTTTCTCCATTAAGTTCCTTTTTCTTTTTCAATAAGAGGGAATTCACTTTAGGGGTTTGTCAATTCTAGAATGCCATAAAGTATTACTAGCTGCAAAGCCAGGTGGACAACCTTTGTCTGAGGGTCTTCTGTGGCTACTTCTAACCAGAAAGGTACTGGTGTTGGTACTGGTGATAGCTTCGGTGTTGATGGTGACAACAACTTCGACACCCCAGATGCTCCATTTGGATAGACCAAATCTGGCTTTGGCTTGGATGATCCATTGGAAGGAAAGGATAGGGATGATGATGACGGGGATGACTTCGCCAAGAGGGCCTGATTATAATTTTTAGATTTCAGGGACAAATTTAGTTTGCTTCTCTGGCAATGCTACAAGTAGATTGTTTTCTGTTTATGTTACGACCATATAATCTTCCCTTCCCCATCTCTTAGAACTATGTTATTTCATTTTATGTCATATTTTCCTATCACAAACTTCATGCACCTTTCTGTGCGCTTTGTTAATAAGGCCATTGATGCTTTGCCTTTTACATCACATTCAATGACGTAGTTTACCACTTGTCTTATGGCCTTCTAGGTACATAGTGAATCCAAAAGCGCATATGAAAAGGAGATACATAAATCAAAGTACCGGGAGCCAACTTTTGAGGATTCACTTAGCTTGAGTGGACAAGTGACATTAATAGCTGTCTATATTTATCGAAGCATTTTCAAGGATGGAAAAGTAAAAGCCATTTCTCTAGCTTATGGTGCAATTTTCAGTTTCTTTGGTTTTAGCTGAGAAATTGTTACAAAAAACCTCACACACTCTTGAGCATTTTCAAGTGTTTAGAAGAAATTTTGAAGTGAAATGGGGCAGGGTGTGTGAACATGGAAATTCCTGAAACAAGAACGTGTACAAAGAAAGATTTTAGTGTTAATGGATTTGTAGGGTTACAATCTCTTTATAACTGGATCTTCTGATTCGATCTCCGTAAGGTGTTGATTTGTGGATGTTTTGTTGATCCAAAGGCCGTCGAGGCTTGATCTTGGATGAACTGTTGGAAGTTTTTTCAAGAGCTCTCGGGGCTTGATCTTGAAGGTTGAGGGAAGTTCCTTCAAGGGCTTTTGGGCTTGATCTCGAAAGTTTGAGGATGAACAGATCTTCAAGGGCTTTTGGGCTTGATCTTGAAGAACGAATATGTGGATTTGTTGACGTTGTTGATAAAAAGGCCGTTGGGGCTTGATCTTAGGATGAACGGATGATGAACGATGAACACTTTTTTCAAGGGTCGTCGAGCCTTGATCTTGAATTGGTGGAAGTTCTTCAAGGGTCGTTGGGGCTTGATTTTGAAGGAGGATTTGACGAAGAACGAAGAGGGCTTTCTTGATCCTTCGAGATTTGCTTGAAAGCTTTAGAGTTTCAAAACTTCAAGGTGCTTGTGTGATGTGAATTGGTGTTTTTTTTGGGATGCTTGATACCTTGATGGAGAAGCCTATTTATAGGCTTTGAGAATGAATCACCACCACAAAATTTTCCCACTTAAGCACCATTACCTAATTTTCCCACTTAATGCAATATTGAAATTGAGTGGTCTAACATATGACCTAATTTCCCACTTTATACCATTTTAAACGTAAAGTGGTCTAACTTATGGCCTAATTTTCCCACTTGATACAATTTTAAACATGAAGTGTGCTTGCTTTGTCATTGCTCAAATGAGAAAAACTTGTTTTGATCCGTAATGGATTGAAATGTGCTTACCTTGTCATTGCCCAAAATGAGAAGAAAAGCTTGTTTAATCCTCCAAGGGTATTTCTTCCAATTTGTTGAGTCACATGCCATGTGTACAATTGTGTGACATGTGACATATCCCATGTATGCCGTGACACGTCAAAACTTTAATGTGTTGGTGAAGATTTATTTACCAAAATTTCGTTGTCTACAGGGCGTTTTGCTGCTCTATTAATAAACAGATTGGAGGAGATTTGGTTGGGTGCTTCGTAACTGGTAGTGGTAGTGGAGGAAATTTGCTTGTTGAGTGTAAAGTCATGGCTAATGAAGTTAACAGAGAATTAACGAAAATTTTGTTTTTGGGCTTAAATCCTAACACTACTAAGCATAATTGCTTGGGCGACGAAGGGATAGTCATCGTGCAAAGGCAAATACGGTTGTCAGAAACATTGGGTAGCGAATAGGACGTTGCGCAAAGCTCGTGCAGTCAA